GAAAGAAAAGAAAAAAACAACTACCAAGAGGCGGGGAATAAACAGGCGCCGATTGTACTTGAGAGCTGATAGCATTGATCGTTCCATCGAAGGCAACAGCTAGAGTATCATGCTTTAAGTGTTCTGTACCAGCCGACGAAACAACGGCGGAGAAGGTGTGTTCAGGAGCTGCGGCGAATTGTTGAAGCGTATACGGCGGTCCGTTAGACATGACCGTTGGGAGATCTCCGACCATGGGTTTTAATTCTTCTTGTTTTCCCCATTTGGGCCATATCTGATGAAACAAGTTATTGGTGTCGTGTACTGGATTTCTACAGACCTGCACAAAACAGAATATTGTATACCAAACTACTAAACGCAATATACTTGTATATTATTTTTAAAGATAGTAACACTTGTGGCCATTTTATCTCTATATTTGCCTATAACAATTTAGATAACGCGCTAGAATCCGAAAAATAATGCAAGTTTCAGTGTTGTAACGTAAAATCAACTTTTAGTAACCTTCTTCTACGACAAAGTATCTGAGATTATGTATTAAAGAAATGTGGTTATATCAGTCTTATAAAATACACGTGTTTCTTGAATACATTTGCATACTTTTATTTATTTCTTCGATCAAACGGTAGATTTTATATATTCCATTGGAATTGCATTAAAAATTATTTAAGAAAAATATAGGCTTATGGCATTCGTCACTTTGGCATATAAATGTGTATTTTGGCATATTTTTTTATATTAACACAGAAAAATAGCAGGTCCTGATTGGGTAAGATATTGTATTAGCGCAAAGCCACACAAAGGGCTACTACAATGGGGGAAATAAAACCCGAATTTTAGAGTTGTAATACCATAAACCTACTGCTGGCCAACAAGGTTAAGTAGGAAATATTCACTCCAAAAACGATAAACTCAAGTTTAAAAGGATTTTAATCAAACTGCCTGAAAGTAATAAATAACCTGATATTTCTATCTACACACACACACAACTCGATCACATATTTTCCAAAGCAAACAGTATCGCAAAACAGTATTTTCTGGTAGACAGATATGGGTCTTTGGATTTATGTGGCCTACATGACGTAGAAATCCTCTTACGTCCCGGCACGAGCAAAATGAAGGGACACTACAGGAGACCTTTTCAAACCTCTTTAATGTCACTTGCTGCGGGTTGCAACGGAAAATGGGAACCTGCGTTATTCTTCATCGAGCGGATGTGAGATGATAGGTTCCGCACTGCAAGTAGCCACTTCCGAAAAGAGCGAGGCATAAAAATGCACACAGGCTATTTTTTTTTTCTATACAAGAAACTCAAATTCAATTACAAGGATAGGACTCATAACAAAGACCTAGCAAAAGCAAGTCCTATTTTATATTCCAAGGATTCTTCTTTTTCCTTGGAACTTTTATATCAGAAAATATAATTTATTTATACTACGCGAGTGCCATGTTATAATAGTTCCCCTAGAGGCAGAATTAAAAAATAATAATAGTAAAAACAATACCTAGATTGTGTAAATCATATTTGTATGAATTGGTTCATTATACACAAACTATAAAATATAAAGATTAACGATTCTCCTTTCTATAAGGATATATCTTGTTTTCTCCTAAAGAATAATGTCACACATTTTAAAACTAGAAAAAAACGACTTTATAGTTTGTTTGTTTGTAATTAAGCACAAAGCTACACAATGGGCTATTTGTGCTCTGACCACCACGAGTATCGAAATCCGGATTCTAGCGTTGTAAGTCCGCAGACATGCCGCTGTGCCACTGGGGGGGCGACTTTATAGCACCAAATTTTTTATTTTACTTTAATTGGACACTCAACGTTTCACTTTACAGCTCCTTCAGGAGCGTTCCATTAAAACACAAACCGTAACTGACAGAACAAAGATATATACAGAAATTAAATAATAATGTCATAAAGTTGCAGAGTAATTGATCATTTTGTCTGTACTGAGTTAGTAGTTTAGTTTCTTGATGAAGAATCGTTTTGTTTTCAATACCAAAATGTCAATGTAAAACCTCGAACTTTACTACTTATCATGTTGGAACATTATTTGGTTTCACTACGTTTCAAACACATCAATATGTAATGCTACCAGAAGCCCAAGTTTGGATTTGTTTTTTATTTTGTTCATCTTCTTTTCCCTGTGCATCACAGAGAGCACACTACGGTATCGATTTTAACACATTTGTTACTCAAGTAGTTGTATTCACACAGAGGTATTTATATCCTCTCGAAGGTTCCAAAATATAAAATATTTCAAATAAGACCAATGTATCGTAGTATTATAGACTTAAGTTTGTTAACATAACCAAAACAGTCGATTATCAAAAATTTTACGAGAGCAATTACGTAACAAGTAAGATAAAAAATGTTCTAATGAATACCCGAGAAACAGAATATTTATTAATAATTAAAAAACGAAAAATATATCTAAAATATGAACCCCAAATTCTGGCGATAATGGTATGGTACAATGATATCCTTTGCATTGGGATCAATATACTTTTTTCATGTGAGGTATTCAATACAACCCACAATCATGTATCCAAACATTACCATTAGAAAAATAACTTCCGCAATATTAAAATTAATTTAGTTTGTTCTAAACTTTAAATCTTTGTGAGCCGCAAATAATAACCTCGATAACACTTAACTTTTTTTAACTAAAAAGGAACAGAAACTTTTGTATATTGATTAATTAATAACAAGGGATAACAAAATATTAAACCAACTATTCTTAAAATTTGGTATCTATTTACGAACATGAAATACTCACGTTCGTGTACAACTGGTCACCATTGTACTGTGTGCGTTGTTGCTTCGTTTCCTCTTCCTGAACAGTCTGTTCGTTGATGTCTCGGCTATCGCTGGTTGCTGCAAAGATAAATATAAAAATATATTTAAATAAAGACTGGATTATCAAAGGAAATTCATTTACTTGCGTTAGAACGGCTGAACCGCTTCAATTAGCGGACACAGCAGGCATTATGACCAACCAGTAAAGTTCTGAGAGGCATTATAGTCAACCAGTAACATTCTGAGAAACATGATGACTGTGAGGAAGCATGGAACATTAACCAAGGCCCGTGGATCGTGTTGCTTTGAAAGAGTTTAAAATTGTAAATTTTCTCCATCCCTTACTTCAGGTACCCCGTTTAGTTCTAAAACGAACTGTATTTAAACTCGATTTAACTCGAACTCGATTTAAATAAGCTAACCATTACATTGACTTTAAAATGGTTTTATGCTGTACGTAATTATCCACTTCCCCTTTATATAAACTACAAATGAGTAATTATTACTTAATCTCATCTCGTTTAATAGACTTCTTACGCACAGAATTCTTTAAATGTCGTATTTTGTCAAGTTTCTAAATGCTGAGCAATCTTTTGGCACATTCCCTTTATGAAAACTTGAGTCTATATATGTCTAATAATCTTAGAGTTACAATTTTAGACTGACAAGGCTATTTTCTTTATTAACGTTTCACCGTTTTTTTTCTTACATTGAATTTCTTGTTTGTTTTTTGAATTTCGCGCAAAGCTACACGAGGGCTATCTGCGCTAGCTGTCCTTAATTTAGCAGAGTAAGACTAGAGGAAGGCAGCTAGTCATCACCACCCACCGCCATCTCTTGGGCTACTCTTTTACCAACGAGTAGTGGGATTGACCGTCACATTATAACGCCCCAACGGCTGAAAGGGCGAGCATGTTTGGTGTGACGGAGATTCGAACTCGCGACCCTCAGATTGCGAGTCGAGCACCCTAACCACCTAGCCATGCCGGGCCCATTGAATTTCTATTTATTTCAAGTTAAAATTCACAATATTCTTGAAATGGAACGTTCTGTTAGGTGAAACTCACTATCTTGAGACCACGAAACTTAGGAGAATATAGCAAATATCATAACATGTTCATAAATAAAATTTATGAAATTTCTTAAGTTTTATTTCCCTTACAAGGTCGTACTTGTACACATTAGCTTATTAAAATATAGTTATATGTAAAAGAAGGAACTCTATAGACATTTAAGTATTGGTATCATATACCATTCCATTCGTTTTTCGTCTTTTACGTCATTTTGCAGTAAAAACTATGGAAAATAATTCATGAGCTGTTTAATGAGCTATTATACCATTTGTTAAATTACCCTTCGTGTGAAACTAAGACGATGCTTATTAATTAAATTTTTTTACATAAAACAAATTTTTTACTGAAGGTTTACTCGAACCAATTATTCTGTCGAATGATCATTTTTGTTAATGATAAGTGCTCGATATATCTACAAATACACACTTATTATCTTTAAATTTCACTTTCACAAAAAAAGCCTAAAATCGAAAAACATTTTTAAATTCTATATAATAAGTACACATCGGTTATCTGAAATATTTAATTGAAATGGACTTTCAGCGCTTGTCTATAGAGTGTACTCGTATAAACTGATCAAATCCCGCACTTATAATGAGTATTAAAAGGGAAGCTAAATTAGCCAACAACTGTAGGGTGTTTAAAATCATAATAATATTCAACGTTAAACTGGTACATAATTAAAAACATTTTATTTAGGCCAAGAGTCGTCAACTTTTTGAAGGCCATAGATAGGCCTAAATAAAATGTTTTTAATTATGTACCAGTTTAACGTTGAATATTATTTATGATTTTAAACACCTTACAGTTGTTGGCTAATTTAGCTTCCCTTTTAATACTCATTATAGATGCGGGATTTGATCAGTTTATACGAAT